ACCTAACACAAGACCACCTAACACAAGACCACCAAACACAAGACCACCTAACACAAGACCACCAAACACAAGACCACCTAACACAAGACCACCAAACAAAAGACCACCTAACACAAGACCACCTAACACAAGACCACCTAACACAAGACCACCAAACACAAGACCACCTAACTCAAGACCACAGGGTCTCCAGACCGAGACAAGACCAAGACCATCAAAAAGTGGTCTTAAGACCAGTTTCAAGTGCTACACCAGTAGGAACAGGTCAGTGGGAGTTTAAACCACAGCTGGTTCAGGTGTTAACACGTCGTTAACACGTCRTTAACACGTCATTAACACGATGAAAGCTTTAGTTTTTGTAAACACTAAACTCAACACCTACATCTAGTGTTTACACCTGCAGTCTGCAGAGCGGGAACACCTGAGTCAGGTGTTCCCGCTCTGCAGACTGCAGGTGTTTACACCTAAAACACCTGAAACACCTAAAACACCAGAGAACCTTCACCAGGTGTTATTTATAAATCTGTTATCTGCTCACCTGTAGTTTTATTTAGCTGACGTCATTACAACATGATAAATAAATCAGTTCTGATCTGAGCCTGGTGGATCCTGCAGAGCCTGAACCGGTTCTGATAAAACCCAATAAGAGATCATCAGAACCCGGCAGTCTGTGTGAACCCGACCACACGTATCAGAACCGGTCCATAAACAATAACCTGAGTGATGGACCCGGACCCGGACCCGCAGACCAGTCCGCAGACACATGATGCAGCCATGCGGGCAGCCGGGTCCGCCTCTCACCGGTACCGGACCGCAGCAGCGAACAGAACCGAGCCGTTCCGCAGCGGAGCACCGGGCCGATACACTGCGGTTCCGTTACGGTTCTGTCTGCCGATAGCTCCGGGATCCCCGGTGTTTCCCAGCAACGCTCGGCCGCCTCCCCTCACCCGAGCACGGCCCGGTCAGAATGCGCGGAGGCGGCCGGGTTCCGGGGCCTAACCGCCCGGCTCCGAAGCCCCGGGGACACCGGCAGCGGGAACCGAGGAGCCGGTTCGGTCTGGGTGCGTGCTGCAGTAACGAGCCGGGGTCAGGAGCGGACACTCACCCTCTGCCGCCGCCGAAGCTGCCGTAGGCCCGATCATCGTAGTCCGCCATTACTGCTGCTGAGTCTGAGAGGAAGGAGGTCCTTCACGTCACACGCAGAGCGGGATGAGGTGCCCGCGGCGCGCCTGACCGGGAAAACCACACAATTATTAAAAAAAATAAAAATAAAAAAATAAAAAAAAACAGTCTGAAAATGTTACCGCAATCAACAGCCTCATATAATATAAAAATATAAGTACTAGTTACTAAAGTTTTATTTTCTGTCTTTTACACTGATTTCACTGATATTTTAATTGCATATCCTATGAAAGTTATCATATTGAACTATAGTTTGAATATCTAATAAGCATGATATTACACATTTTTATTACAAGTTCATGTAGTTATAAGCTGTCACCTTCCCCAGTCCACAACATGCTCTGTCACACCGAACCCCCATTTCTGATGGGATTTCACGGCTCTGGTTTTTATTTCATACCACAACACTCCAGTCTTTAAACTGATGGGACTCTGTTTTATT